ATTTTTCAAAATATTCTTTTCTGACGTAAAAAACAAACTCAAAAAGTTGAAAAACCGATTGTAAATTCAGATTTCTCGACCCCGATTTCCTTTGGTTAAACTTTATAAGCTATTGTTATTTCTAGAAGACAGTGTTTCCCGGGCAGAGAAAATTAAACTCAAAATTTTGAAAAACGAATTGCAGATTCGGATTCCTTGACCCTGATCATCTTTGGTGAAGCTTCATAAGATATCGTTATTTTTAGAAAATAGCCTTTCCTTGACAACAAAACTCATACTCAATATTTTGAAAAGCTAGCTGCACTTTCAGTTTCCTGGTACCAGGTTACCAATGATTAAACTTTATGGAATATCGTTATTTTAAGCGATTGCCTTTCGTTCGATGAATTCGGAAGCCTTCCGTTAAAAGTTAAGAGAATCCATGTCACGTTCTTATTCGCCTTTCTGGATACAGAACTCGACTGCATTCCCCGTTCGTAGAAATGAAACGCAAAAGTGGCACTCCTACAGAAAGTTATATTCTGAAAACTGCTACTGAATGCATTGTTTACAAGGAGGCAAAAGCGAGACTTCTAGTGCAAGTACTCCAGCTGTACTTCTTCTGTACTTATGCATGCACCAAACCTAAGTCATTTTTCGAGTTTCAATGTAGGTTTTGATCTCGATTAGGTATATCATCCTTAATTTTTCCAAAAAAAAGATCTTTGGAGAAAGAAACGATTTTCTTTATAAGGCTTAACCGAAAGTAATCGAGGTCGGTACATCCGAATCTAAAATCAGTTTCTCAAAGTTTTGAGGTTGATTGTTTTGACTAAATAAAAGGTTGTTTGAGAAAATAATAATTTCTCAAGGGGAAAGGAGCAAAAAATGCCGTACTTCCACGTACTTCCAGATTATGCCGCAACTGTGCGTCAGATATTTTTAGCTATTTCGAGTCCACTATGGACCTATGTTACGGCATATTAGTCGGAGTTCAACCTAGGTAAGTTTATCTGACCAAAAGGTCCAAATACTTCATGATACTTCTACCTTGGAAGTATCATGAAGTATTTGGACTTTTTTGTCAGACAGACTAAAGTAGGTTGAACTTCGATTAATACACCGTACCACAGGTCAATAGTAGACTTAAAGTAGCTAAAGAAATCTGATGCACAGTTACGGTATAGTCTGGAAGTACGTGGAAGTACGGCATTTTTGCTTCTTCTCCCTTTCAATTTATTCTAAAATTTGACCTCAGTGAGTAGGGTGAGTTTACTTGACCAGGAAATCAAGTAAAAAATATTTTAGAGCCTGATTGCAGTTTCGCATTTCCCGACCTTAATTACCTTCGGTTAAGCCTTATAAGAAATCATTATTTTCTCCTAAAGTCATTGGTTTGGTCAAAAAAACCGAGTTCGAAATTTTGAGAAACTGACTTCAGATTCGGATTCCTCGACCCCGGTTATCTTCGGTTGAGCCTTATAAAAAATCATTATTTTCTCAAAAATATCATTTTTAGTGAAATAATTAGGTATGACATAACTAACCAAATTTCCATACGGTTTCCGGTACTTCACCTGTACTTTGGTTCTCCTCCCCTTATACTTCTTGGTACTTCTATTGTACTGCCTTGTACTTCCTTCGTACTTCCTCATACTTCCATGATACTTCCACGTACTTCCATCGTACTTCCATGATATTTCCTCGCACTTCTATCGTACTTCCTCGAACTTCCATGATACTTCCATCGTACTTCCATCGCACTTCCATTGTACTTCCTCGTACTTCCATGATACTTCCTCGTACTTCAAAATACTTCGGAAGTAGATGAAGTCTTGCTATTTCCCCCTTGGTCAAGATTCAGAAAATCGCTGTTTTACAAAACGCTAAGTAAAAGAAAAAAATTTACATACGATTACTATGAAAAAAAAAATTTTTCTCGATCTAATAACTACGTAAAAGTAAAATATTTAGACTCGAATAATGTCTCTAGTTGCATGTGGCACTTCAGGCTATCGTATCTTTGGTTCAGCTAGAAATCGAGTTTTTGGTCACTAAAGAGGGGGGGAGGGGTACCCTTAAGTAAGAAGTATCTATCTATTTCATGAATAATTTTCGCAAAGCTGAGTAATAAAAAATATTTCTGGATAGTTAACAGATAGAATCTAATCTATTTGTTCTATGATTGAGAAAGAGATAAGTTTTGAATTACCTACAGAATTCGAAGGTGAGTAACTTATTGATCGTTGTTGTTAGACAATGAAATTCATACTTTCTTTTTTGTTTTTGATAATCATTTTTTGTTTTGAATAATTCAGAAAGTTACAATAAGTTATTATTCTATTTTTAAATTCGGAAAACTGCTCTCTAGAAAACAGTTAAACAAGAAGTAATCACTATACTATTAAAAGATATAAAAAAACAAACTTTGTTAACAACTTTAGTTTTATCTTTTGCTAATTTCTACTTGTGGTTTTGAATAGTTTTGAAAGAATACAGATCAACATTTAAAAGTATCCATATTTCTAATTTCCAATTCATTATAAAGAAAACTGTTGAAAATTTTCCATAGTCTCGAAAATGATTTTCGGAAATTTCAAGTATCTGTATTCGAAATAATTCGATACTTTCTAAAATTATTTAATTCTTAATATTTCTAAAAACTTATAATTTTCTATGTTAAATGATTTTTAAGCTAATAGGGATTTCACAAATTTTTACATGAGTCAGACAAAATTGAGCTCAATTACACGGTTGGAAAAAATATTATTCCAGGGGGGGTAACGCTATAATTTCAAATAGAAGACATAATAGATTTTATATCAAATGAAAGCTCGTTAAAAATGGGGTTTATTGGTATTAAATAGTGAGGGTTATGAAAACCTTTTAATGTCGAGCTTAATAAATTTTCAGAAATTTTATACTTTTTTTGGGATGGAAAATTAAAGTACTAGTGATTCAAGAATGGAGTAAAATGTTTTTCTTGAATATTTTTACACAGTTCAATAGAGCTCGTCGAGCTCTATAAAACTGTATACATTAAAAAATTTTTAAGACACTTTTTTTTTGCGATAAAAAATTCAAAAAACTATTTGGAAAATCTTAGAAAACATGAAAAAAATTCATATTTTTCATGTGGAAGAACAACACTTACTTTTTCAATAAAAGTAGCTTTTTTCATTGTTTTTACTCCGTCAGGCGTTTCGAAACATACTCATTAGACTCAGCTTTTGACACTGCATCGAACGAGTATATTTCCAGACGTCTGAGGTAGTAAAAACAACGAAAAAAGCTACTTTTATTGGAAAATTGAGCGTGTTTCTTCAATTTGAAAAAAAAAAGAGTTTTTAAATGTTTTTGAGGTTTCCCGAGTAGTTTTTTGAACCTTTTATCTCAAAAAGATGCCTCAAAATTTTTTTAATATGCACAGTTTTGTAGAGCTCAACGAGGTCTATCAAACCATGTAAAAATATTCAAGAAAACAAATTGACTTCATTTTTGAATCAGCGGCACCTTGATTTTCCACCCCAAAAAAATATAAAATTTCTGAAAACTTCTTAAGTTTGACATTAGAAAGTTTTTACAAGCCTCACCATATAGTATCAATAAACCCCATTTTTGACGAGCTTTCATTTGATATAAAATTCATTGTCTTCTATTTGAAATTATAGCGTTACCCCCCTGGAATAATATTTTTTCCAACCGTGTACATATGAATAAATTGAAATTTATTTCAATCGTGTAATATCTATTGTTACTATGTGAAACTTACGAGTCAATGACTGCAGATTATTGATCGATCTTTCTAAATTGACTTCAGAATCAAATTATCCTGGTTTTCAGCGTTAATGCTAATTATGATGCCGATTGAAGAAATAAAAAATGATCTGACTCTTCTAACATTTAGCAACGTCCTTGAGTTCTTGCGTAACTGTCTCGGTATTTTGATGCTTAATTAAACGAATTGTGTAGTCTGAATATTTTTAAAGTTTTTCAAGGAAACTAGATTAGAAAGAATGAAATAAAACATCAGACATCGTCTTGACTCAAACAAGAACAATCGATCCACAGAAGATATCAGAGATATCTGTGATGTCTCAAAGTCTGTTGCTTTCCTCCAACAGACAAAACTATCGCTCTGCTGCCGTGATGGTTTTCGAGACGCTCTTCAAAAATCTCTTCCATCACTGTGCTAAACTAATTAGTACAGTTTAAATGAATGGATCAGATTCATCATGATTCTGATTCCTGGATTTGTAGACATCCGAATTAGGTGCAAATTCATGCAACTTTATAATCTTTCTACCACAAAAAAAATGCCATGACTGTACCGTGGCCAGAATAGTATTTTTGAGACATCTTCCATATCATGACGGTTTTAAGGAAACTGCTGCAACTGTGACGGCGGCGGTTCAGTGGGTACACTATCGTGGCCATCTCAAGAAGGAATCTAATTTCAATACACAGCATCGTTTTCATTTTTATTTCTTTTTTACAGGCTATATACAGACACATGGAGAGTGGCCATTCGCAGTGTATTTTTTCACTGAACGGCAACTCGCCTATTTTGCCAACTATTGCAAGACTAAAAGCTGCACTGACTTACATATCGATGCAACTGGCTCTGTCGTTAAAAAACTGAACGATCAAAATCCTATATTTTTCTATTCCATGATTTTCAAAGCTGAAGAAGATCCTTCTAATACTTTACCTCTTAGTGGTGCTCTTTTCTCCGATCAAACAGCTGGTTCCATTGCTTCGTATTTTAATTGCGTACGTAGTAAGCCTGCTTACGTTGCAAGACTGCTCGTCCGTCTTTCGTTGTTATTGACTTTTCTGCAGCTTTATCAAGCAGCGTTCTCAGCTCGTTCAACGTCGAAACTGTTCGTAGTAATCTTCGTCGTTGTTTTAATACTCTTAATTTCGCATATGACACATCACAGTTACGTAACATGACATTTGTATGACTTTGCTGTTCACACGTAATGAAGGCATTTTCTCGAAGCCTTAACAAAATTGAAATGTCAAAAGATGCTCGCCGTCAAATAATGACACTTTTTGCTGTATTAATAAATTGCCACAATGTCGATGGTGCATTTGATTTATTTGAAGAAATCATGAATATTTACGCCGATTCATATAACAACCAATCGCCACAAAGATTATCTTTACTTCTCAATCAATCGAATGTAGATGAATTTCCTGTTGAACCATATTTGGACGAAATCGAAGAAGATGAAGAAGAACCACATTTTCTCGACGAAATTGATATTACAAACGACGCCATTATTCATCAGTCACCGTTTAACGTCAAGGCATGCGACTGTATGCCTCTTCTTAAAAAATTGATCCGTAAAGAAGCTATGAAGAAAAAACCACCTAATCCACTATTTTCAATCAAGATTGTTCATTTATTTTATAAATGGTTTGCTTACGTTCCTCTATGGTCAGGTATCATGACTGAATTTGTAGATAGGCAAGTTTTATTCTGATTTTAAGTAATCGATAATGTAGATCTCTGCTATTTAGATATGCCAATGATGGCAAAAGGATTTCGACCAACAACTGGGAATTTGGTCATGGTCGAATTTCGAACCCTTCTATTGAGTCATATTTTTCTATAATTAAAGAATCTGTTCTGATGAAGAAAACTCGTCTTACATCAGGCGATTTCTTATTAAAAGCATATTTCCATACTGTTTCACGTTTGAAAGCAAATGATTTCAGTGTGATACAATCATTGCGCTGCCGAAAAGTGGTGCAAGACGAATCAGACAGTTTAAATGTCGAAGAGAACTGGAGAGAGAAAGGCCGCTCCAAGACAAAGGCAAATCGACGAGGTCATTATTTTGATGATAGTATCGCTCAGACAACAGCATGCAAACTAATGTGAGTTATATTTTACAGAATTGGAACTAAATCTGAATTCAATTTTATCTTGTAAAGCCATTGACACATTAGAAGACCCGGGGTCTTCTAATCTGCCCTGTCGCTTGCAAGTCGTAAGGGGGGTCTTCTAATATGTCCCTTAGAAAAGTGATTTTTTTGCTATTCTGAAGGATAGTTTTCATAAACGTCTTTTTTTATGAACACTAGTTCTTCCTAAATATTTCTTTAGCTTTTTCAGGACTAGTACAATAAAAAAGTCTTTATTCTAGCTACGATGAACATTTTACGACAAAAGTATCTTTTTTTATAAAATACACTATATACATAGCAAAACATGTTTGACAGTTCATTATAGCAAAAGTGTTTTTCACATGATAAAAGGAATACATCAAAAAATATTTTTATTTGACATAGTCAAACAGAAGAAGAAATTCAAAGTTTTTGAATTTTCCACGTATCTATCAAAGTCACTTATAACAATGGTTGCTGTTTGCAACATGTTACAGAGTGTCCCGAAAATAACTTACGAAAAATTTTTTCGTATATATAGGCTCTTTTATTTAACTTTATCAACAAAATTTTTTTAAACTATAGGTGAATATATCGAGTTTTTATTTATCCGAACGAACTTCCATATTATTGTGTAAAGCTATCACCTTAGATAAAAATATAAAAATTTTGTTTTGTTTATATTTTCAGAAAAACATTATGTGGCGTTTTGTTCTCTAACTAGTTCAATTTACTGTGGGAATTTCTCGCAGATTTTGTCTCAAAAAAAAAGGTTTAAAAATCTTTCGATCTACGTATTCTTGTAGAACTCGACGAACTCTATCTAACCATATGAAAATATCAAAGAAAACACCTTCGTCAACTTTTGAATTACTCGAATATTAGAACGAAAGCAAAACTATTGTATCTTCACTTAAGGGGACCCCCCCCTTTCCGGCGTTTTTAAGAAACGGCCGAACGAAAATTACTGAAACTTGCAGGGTAGATAGACCTCGAGTAGTAGAGCAAAAGTTGTCATAGACACAAATTTGCCAGACGTCATCTTCATGGACTTCCAGAGACCCCAAGGTCAAAAACTTGCAAAAAGTTTTCCCCCCGCAAATCCACAAATTTCATCCGTTTGAGCTGAAATTTTTGCTGTGGATAGACGGACCCAGTCGGGGTGGGCGTTTGTTTTTTTTTTCAAAAATTCCAAATACTTCAGGCTGGAGAATCAAAATACTGAGCACCTTGCAAAATCTCTAGGTTTTTTGGATCCTAAAAATTTTGCGAAGCCTGCCAAACTTGATTAGTAGAAGGTATCCAAAAAAAAAAAACGCCCAACCCAAATCACTTGAAGTCTCACCAAAACAATTTTCAGCCCGATCGGACTTGAAATGGCGGAGAAAAAGGGGGAAAACTTCATTTTTTTGCTGAAAAAACTGATTTTGAGAAAAACGCAAAGGAATTTGTGTTTTTTTGGTTTTTTCAGCATATTTTGTGATTTTTTTCGAATTTTTTATATATAAGATGTGGTTTTTCAG